ATTATAGGTAGCGCCATCTGTATCGCTCAACCTTAGCGACGACCGATTACGTTTATTATCTATTTACATAGTTTCAGTTAAGCAATGTGTATTGAGCTGAAAATACAGAATACATTACGTGTTGAGTTAAACACAATGACTCATCATTAAGTATCAATCGGCATAATATTATTTCATAACTATATCGAGTTATAACACTCATCAAAGTCTCTCACCAGTGTGACATCGCCCCTGCCGAGACAAGCCCCAAGCTCTCGACCGTTCTCCGGACACGTGTGATTGCGTATGGTGGAGCTTGGAGCTTGTCCAGGCTGTGGTGCTGTCCTGCTGGTGGGAGATACCTGGATGAGCAAAACCCGCAAGCCGACAGACAGGTCGGCGCAGAATCTCGCGACTTAGCGAGTGAAGAACACCGCCACCCCCGAGATAAAAACATCCTCTACACTTACGGTACTAACAACCGTAGCCGTTGAAGCGCACGGAAACACGAAAGAATCGATCAATCAAGAATTTCAAACGACTAAATGAACATGCAATTTCGCATGACCGTGAAGTAGAAATTCGAATTTCGAGAATTGAAATCAGATTTATGTGAACCATAACATTTCTACACTTAACTTGAAGTATGGTAAGGGAATTTTATTTTGTTATGTAACAAAATGTTTTCTGTTTAAGTATTCAGAACAACTTTTTGCTTGTTGTGTATATTACAAAATAAATATACTTATGAAATTAAGTTCATGTTCTCTCGTTACAGCCAATGAATTAAAAACTTGCAAATTTCATCCGATTTTGATATAAAAATATACGTATTGGAGGAGATACTTGCTAATGAAATAATATTTTTCATTTCTAGGTTATGAATGTGTTCGTTCAATACCGAGGATACACATGAAGCGATGTAATGAAAAATTTCTGTAGTTTTCGTATTTCTGCACATTTTAGATGTGACAATTGTGTGAGTGCCTTTGATGATAGATATGCTTTAGAAAGAAATAGATCCAAATTTTCTAGATGCAGTCTATCTATATTTGTTTTTGTTCAAGGAATGTCATATAGTTCGCTGTTTCAACAAAGGTTTCTATAAAAAGATTGATGAACATAAACTATAATAATGTTATCGCAAAATTAATTTATCCTTTTATTGTTCCCTATTCCATAATGTAGCCTATATTACACATCGTTCTTCTTCTTCTTCAGCTTCTCTGGTAATACTCGTAATTGCAACGTTGAATTTTCTACTTCCAAACTTTCAGCGAGAAATATGAGCAAAACGCACACGAAACTGAAATATTTACGTGGTTCAAAACAAGCATTAATTGCAAAGAGAACGCTTTACTGTCCGTAGATTCTCAAACTTTTAGAAACATGATTGGTCGATAGGCCGGGGAATTGAAGTCATTTGTTGACTAAATATACACCAGGAATGCATTTTGAATGGTAGTAGAGAAAATACTTATTATTCCCTATTATAATACAGAAAATGTGAAAAGAAACAATCACATGCGTTCTTCAAAATTACTGCAAACTTTCAAGTGTAACCAGCTGTACCTTTTAAACAAGAGATAATTATGCAGCTTAATTATAAACTTAGTTTCCCGCAACCACAAAATACCTAAATATGAATTACATTATTGAAGATGCCATATCACTGCAGACTAATGTTATTGTAAATAAGTGAAAACGTTTTAAACGCGAAATACTATTAATACGAAAATGATCTCCTATGTATTCTACAAAATTGTTTTAAAGTCATCCATTTTCAACGATACTTTTTACAATAATCTAATATTGAACATATTGTAAAGTTTTTTAAAATGAAGGAAAGTAATGTATTAAGGGAAAAGGCTTCCCGGCCAAAATAACAGCGAGAGCGTGGGCGGTCCGCTCGAGAAGAAAAGGTAGCCGCTTCAGAAGCCCCTCCAAGGCGGTCGCAACAACGAGAGAGTGAGTGTTTGTGCTGCCTCCAAGCCGAGTTAACTACGCCGGAACTACCTAAAGAAAGCTCAAGGGTCGAAATAGAAACCAGATCAAGGAAGGACAGGACGAATCAACGCGAAGTCTTGTAGAATTTTTTGGATATTTGAGTACTTTTCGCGTACTTTTGCGTGAAAGTATGGGCAAGAAAGTACGTGCTGTCTTAGCACCACAACTTGATAATTTCATTATCACTGATTTGTTGAAGCTGTATTAATACTATCTTATTTAATCGATAAATCAGTCAATAGCAATAATGCTTATAGTTTACGAGTTAACTTCCTTAACGAGCTTAGTAATTAAAATTTATTTATTTTTAGTAAAAAATAAGCATTGTATGTAACGTATGGAGGAGAAGAACAATGACGTGAAAAGAATATTGAAAAAGTGAATGTCATGAGCATTTATTGATATAATAATATTTTGATTTTCACAAACTAACCCCATCCATAGTATGATGAATTCATTTTGCGTTGATCTCTAACAAAAGAAATCTGGAAAGCCATATGAATGAAACATCTAGAAGAATGAATGAATACGTTATCTCCCAAAATTCTCCACTCCAACTTCTTTCCAGTGATTGATGTTGATACAGAGCTTTTTATCGATCGCACTCATTTTTATCTCAAGAAGACTGTTTCCTTCATTATTACACCATTTTTTATCCCATGTGGATATTTATAAAGCTGCTGCTGATAATGGGGATGATGTCCCAAAGTAGATCCCTTTTCCTGGATAGGTTAACAGTGGTTTATCATTAGATAGTCTGTGGGGTAATTATAAGAGCTATTCCACTTGTGAAATTAAAACCAATAGTCTGTAACTCTACATAAAAAATGCTCCAATCAGGGCGTTGTATCTAAAAAAAATATCCCTCTTTACTTTCCCGTATACATACGTATATGCAGAGTAATATACGTAGTACAGGGAAAGTTTTGTAATGATGCGGAAAATCTATTTCGAGATCTCAGCGGAAATACACGTTTTACACCCCTGATATAGAAAAGTTGTTCTTTTCGAAACGTACGTTCATGCGTCCATCCATCTGTGAACAACTCTTAGCGCCTAAACCATACTTCCTATTTTTTCCAAAATGGATGTTTCCTGGTCGACCTGGTGATGCGCATAAACTTTCTTAAAATGTATGTACTTACATGAAGCCATCCGGACATTTTCAAAATTTTCTCCAAAACAGCTTCATTGAAAGCATGGTTGTCGCACTCTTAACTAAACCTACTCCACCTACGGCCAGAGCTGAGATGCTCCAGCTGCATCTGCCAAGCTGGGAATCCGAGATGTGGCCAGGCGAGAAAATGGACGGGGATACGACCTACTATTCCCCCTGCAGTTACGATTGCGAGATGCGGCAGAGGCGAGAGGGGAGGCGTAGGCGCCGAGAAACCGAAAAACTTCCAAGCCTTTGGGATTGACGAAGAGCGAACGAAGAGCGGACGAAGACCGGATGGAGAGCGGATAGTGAGCGGACGGAAGACGGACGAAGGGTGGCCGAAGAGCGGATGGAGGACGGACGAAGAGCGGATAGAGAAATGATAGTGAGCGGACGGAGGGCAGCCAGAGGGCGGACGGATAGCGGACGGAGAGCGGGCGGAGAGCGGGCGGAGAGCGGGCGGAGAGCTGGCGGAGCGCGGGCGGAGAGCGGGCGGAGAGCGGGCGGAGAGCGGGCGGAGAGCGGGCGGAGAGCGGGCGGAGAGCGGACGGAGAGCGGGAGGAGAGCGGGCGGAGAGCGGGCGGAGGGCAGCGACGAGCGAAAGGCAGGCGCTATAGAATGCACAGTGATGTTTTTGCAAAGGCGACTGCATTTCGCTGCCCTACCCCATGATTCAACACACTTCCCAACAAGACATCACAATGGCTAACGAAACTTTACACATTTTACATTGCGTAAAATTTATATAGCGTATGTTGTTAATTTACAGCAGATAAAAATTCCGAAGTCATTGCTGCAGATAAACTGTTTCGAACGCTGCAAGTTCTATTGACGAATACATTTTTTATTACCTCTTCTCTTCTTCTTTGTGCGTGTTTTGAGAAAATGTCCTTTAGGCAATAATGGAAATTCAAGACACTTGGAGATTAATAAAACTGTTTAAGTTGGTTGCTCCAACTTAGTAATGCGCATAAATAATCGAGTTAAACTGGCTTAAACAAATGACGATACACTGCATGTAAAACACTTTCAACCACTTTGTATACTTCTAAGCACACTAGAATTTTAGGTTTGTACCCTTACTTTCCAACTACTTCTCGTGACAAGGTAACTGACGATGATCTCAACTTCCTACTAAACTTCACTAATATTAACATTCCTTCTTACTGAGTTTGAAGTGATTTATTATTATTATTATTATTATTATTATTATTATTATTATTATTATTATTATTCATTGTTGACGTCCGTGTTTGCGAAATACATAGATTACTAGTGCAATAATGCGCAATATTTTAATACATCTCTAGTTGTGCATTGACATTATGAAAGTACAAAGTATTCGCTTACGTTTATGAATTTCCCTAACTGAAAATTCCAAAATTACCACTTACCACACTTCCCTGCGCACCGACAGGGAAAAACCACCTGCATCTCGTCTCGAGCGTGAAATATCAATCGCGGGAATTCAGACATCGCGATAAGAAGGGGAACTCCGGTGATCAGATCGCGTAAGCGGTCGTCACGTCCTCATGTCTTCTATATAAAAGAGTTTTGCTCCACAATGATCACAGACGTGGAACCAAAACTTCTTCGCCATGATCAGGGCCGTGGTCGTTCTTTTGCTTGTGAGCGCAGTGTACGGTAAGTTACAAGCCTTCGATGCGTTTTCTTATGAACAGAGGCACTAACTACCTTTTACTTTATTTATACTAACTATACACTTTTATCTTTCTTTTTTATACAGAATTTTAAGATGTATTTGAAAATAATGTATATTTGCTAGTCATTGAATACATTTGAGAATAAAATATTTGCAGACTGAAATTTAAAATATTGTAGCAAATGTGCGAATATATATATATATATATATATATATATATATATATATATATATATATATATATATAATACTTCAACACCGTGTGACTAATCTCCATAAAAGTTGGCATGCAAACGTGTTTTTTTTTCACTCAGAAGGTTTATGAACTGTTAATTTTGTTGTAACATTACTTCATGGCGCTGCAGAACAAAATTGCGCCTTATTTATTCAATTTACTTCCAAACTTCCCTCAACCTGGACTTCATTGTTGCGTTGCTGTGTGATGCTGAGCAATGCCTTGTGACGAAGAGCGAGGGACAGGAGAATGGGACGAGAGCGCGCGAGAGGCAGAGACGGAGTGAAAGAAACGCAGAGACACATTTAGAGAGACAGAGAGTCAAAGACAGAAAGAGACAGAGATAGAGAGTCAGTCAGAGACACAAAGAGTGACAGATAGAGACTCGGAGATGTTTTCTTTTTCACAAGGTTTGAATATGAAAAAAAAAGGCAACAGTGGGTATTTTGCTAGCTATATTCTACATTAAACTTACGAAAAACAATTGTGCAGTGATTAGAAATCGCTTTTTAATACCACTAATTAACTGGAAGCAAAAGAAAGTATTAGTGTGCTTCTAATCTTGTTTTTTATGAAACACCTCATAAGATTTCCTCGAAAAGTTAGTGAGTTTTAGTGATTAGTATCTTGTGAAGGTCAGATGTTTGCACATTTATTGAAGAACAATTACATACACATTTCAACATAAATTAAATAATTAATATTTTAACTATTGTTATCTTGCTGGATGAAGAAGGTAGGATTAAAAATATTCTTCCCACATATAACCTCTTCTCAAATCAAGTAATTTATTAGTTGAAGAATTAAACAGCCCATTTTCGATGCGATGAAGGTAGTCGGATGATAGAAGTACCGATCAATATTTTATTCACTTTACGGTTTAGAGCAGGTCGAATAGATCTGATATTGACACGTCTTTCTTTTTACCTAATAAATGAAGTGTAAAGAATCCAGCTGAGTAAGCAATTGTTAACGAAATATTTAAAACATTTGCTTCAGTGCATCAATCAACCTGAAAAACACAATGAAGAGCAATAGACTTTTATGACTAGATTGAGTGTTAATTTTTTTCCATTTTCGGTTTTAGGTTCTGAATCAGGAACCCAGTTTTCCAATGGACGCATCGTTGGGGGTCGTGACACTAACATAAAATTTTACCCCTTCCAGGTAAATAAGAAATTTTCTTATTTTATCTATTACATTTGATTGAAAACCTCCAAGATTCATGTCAATTTTGTGCATTATCACACTTTGTACGATTTCAGGTCTCTTTGCAATTGAATGGCAGTCACTGGTGTGGGGGATCTGTCATCAGTGCAAACTACATCCTTACAGCAGCCCACTGCATGGGATAGTAAGTAAAGACACCAACGACTTCTTTCACTATTTATGAAAGATGATGCTTAGAAGTTTTAAGATACACTCCCGTTTTAAAATACTTATGTAACGAATAAATGTTGGAACTAGAGAAAGGATCTGAGGCGTCGATCCTCCTTCAGTTTTTGGAAGCAGATAGAACATCTTCATATTAATATACAATTTGTTTTCAAATTTCAATAAAAAATCAACTTTTGACTATAGTTTATATTGTAATTTTATTACAGTGATGTATGATCAATGTTGTTCATGATCACTGTCTAAGAAGCTCATGACTACACTTTTAACTTCTGTAGTTCGATCCGATTCAAATGGTAATTTAAAGTTTAATGCAAGTGACTGTACGTAGCAGTCATACAGTGACTTACAGTACAGGCAGCGTATAAGCGACTCTGAGTTCAATGCACTGTTGCCTCACATTACTACGCACATGGCCCCACCTACATGACACCTAAATGAAATTCAAAACATTAGCACTTTCGACAGTCGATTATAATTATATCACGTTCATAACCTTCGCAAAAAACCAAACCTTATCGCCATCCAAACCTTATTCGCTTGAATAAGATGAGCGACAACGCTGAACCCTGGCTGTGATAAAGTAAACAAACCCTAGCAAGCTGAAGGCTTCAGAGCAGGTGGCAAGAGAACGCTGGCTTCTTGAGATTAATCAAAGTGGTTCGAGCCAACAGTACAAATAATGAAGAAAGTGATTTAGACCCCGCAATAGAAATCCCAAACTTCTTTTAAAAAAAGTGGGACAATTGTAAATATAATAGTATGCAAATTGAAGAATCTTCGAAAAAAGTCATGTGTGTAAGGTATGTAAAGCATTGTTCCCCCACTTCCACCATCAATTCCATCACTAATGCGAAAAATTAACAAAAAAGTGTATCAGTGGAATCCGGCGACTTCAATCTGGAGGGACAAAGCAAAACACTTCATTATAAAGTGGTTCGAGGCAACAGTACAAATAATGGAGTTAAAGATTTAGAAGGCTAAATCGGACAAAGAGATCTGTTTTAGCTACATATTTAAATGCGCATATTTGATTTAACTCGAATTATTTATTTTAAAAAATGCGAACGATTTGTTCACGTTTTTGCAACATGTTTGCTCGCAGTCAAATCATAGAAATGAATGCCCGAGGCAAACGATATTATCTATAGTACCCGATAAGTTTCAGAACGTTCTCACATTTCTCTCACTTTCAAGAGTGGCTATTGTCTTGGTGCTGAGACGCATGCTTGAGAATTCTCACTGATAAGGTAGCAACCCTTTTCGGAAATGGCGCAAGTTCATCCGTATTTCAATTCCAGGTGAAGAACCAAATGGTGATTTTTGTTTCATTACATTGTAACACGTTTTTTGTTTCATTACTGTGCATAACACGTATAAAGCCATAACGGAAGGGAATAAAAACATATCTAAGAATTAGTTATCGAAATTATTATACGAGGGATACTGACAAAAACCGCCTAACGCGCTTGTCAAAAGCTCTGCTGTCAGCCTTCCAGATAAATAATACTTCAAACTTGTTAATGAAATAATTATATGCGTCGTCATTGCCAACAATATTATTTATTAAAAAAGCAGCTTTCGATGGCTTAGCCATCATCATCAGTTTTCTGCTGTATGGAAGCCACAAAAACGACTAATATTGTTGGCAATGACGATGATATTATTTCATTAGAAATGCCAACGACAACTTACCACAACACCTATATTCAAACTTGTTTCCATATTACTAATTACTGGATACTGTACTAGAGACGGTTCTATGTACCTAGTGAACGAATATTTTTTTCTTGTTTCCACTGGTATCATCTGTAAGATTTTCACCACATACCCTTTCAACCTGTTCTCAGGACCACAGAGCGACAACCCCTCGAATCGTAATAGAAAGATTGCCATTTAGATTTCCGCGACGCGGCGGGCCGCCAGTAGGGGGAAGGGGAGAGGGGTGGTGGGCGTACCTGTACACAGTTTGGAAATAGGGGGGGGGTCGTGTTTATGCGTACAGCACAATTGGTGACATTTACAACTAAGTAAATTGCTGTTATTTTTCGAATTTTATATCCCTAGACAATAAAGCAATAATACTTGCACATTCAGAGATAAAGTAACTATATATGAACAGACGAATACAACCACCCATTTTCATTAGAACAGTAAATTTTAAGAGATATTCATTTTGATTTTATTGTTCCATATCAACACTATTATTGGGATTGATTCTGCTTGCAGCCCGGGCAACTATAACGTGCGCGTGGGTACCACCCTGAACAGCGAGGGTGGCTGGGAGGTGGAAATCGCCGAGATCATCGTGCACGAGAAGTACCGCTCCCTCATCTACGACTACGACGCGACCCTCCTCCGTCTCGAGGAGCCGCTGCAGTTTTCGGAAGTGGTCCAGCCGGTGACCCTGGCGGAGGAGGGCGAGGAGTTTTCGGCAGGCACGCCCGCCGTCGCCACCGGCTGGGGCACCATGGTGGTAAGTCGTGTTACACGAAGATCGGCGAAGCAACGACGTGGCGAGGGAACTACCGTTCATTTTAATAGCAAGGCGTTCAGAGTGAGCTACACGTGACATCCATGCGCCCAATTCTTATTTAGGAATCGAGTAACCTGATAATTGTTTACTTCAATTTTATTTTTAATACGCCGATTTAAATTTGCATTGTTTTGAATTTGAGATTTTATTTCATTTGGGCATAATTTAAAATGAAATAGTGGAAATTAATATGCCCTTTATCATTTATCTTCAAATATTTATTAACAAGTGAACAAATATCCTTTTTCTATCTAGTGAACTATTTTTGCGTAATATCAAGTACTACGTAAGTTGAATAGGACAAATAAATTACTGCCAGGGGTCAACTATTTTAATAGTTTTGGCTAATGAGATCTGCAACTCAATTTTGTGAGAACTTCACCTTGACAAATGATCGCCGTTATTTTCCACCACCAATACCAACTAATTCAGTAACAATTGTCTTCACTTTCTAGGAGAATGGCCTTACTGCCCTCATCCTGCAGGAAGTGGAGTTGCCCCTCCTGGACAACGCCGCCTGCAAGAAGTACTACCCTCTGCGCATCACCGCGCGCATGCTCTGCGCTGGCTACGCGGAAGGAGGGCGCGACGCCTGCCAGGTGAGACCGCAGTGCGATGTCGTGAGGGCCAGAATCGCAGTTCTAGAGAGATAACCAGTGGTACCACCCTTTTCTATAGCATTGTCAGATGTAACACACTTAAAGCCACGTTCCACTAAACTGTTAATATCAACACGCTAAATGTAAATTACAAATCATGTTATATGTATACATATTGAGTCTACCTTCATAATAATAATAATGTTACGTTATTGATCATTGGGCCCTCTCTTTTTAACGCGTTGGGCGGGGTTGACAAGACAGATTCATTAAGTAGTTTTCAACTTAGAAAGTGTATTATGTGAACTCTGCATAGATTTTTCTGTTATCTCTAATTACCCCGCTTTACTGCAATCCCATCGGCATTTTTATTCGACTACTCCCGGGGGCAAGTGGACATCCCTACGCGCTTATCCCTTTGTGTTTCTAAAGCCTTTCCTTTCTAAAGGGTTTTCCTAACATTTTGTGCTAGCTTAACCCTTTGTACTTTTTTAACCATTATTCCTTTTCTACCGTTGTGCACTAACGTGTGATCTAATCAGGAGCTTCAACCTCGCCATAGTGACGTTCAAGTTTCCCACTGGATGACAGCGCCACAGCCGATCATGAGTTGCATTTCCGATATTTTGAGTTACCGTAGCGCTGGGAGCGCTTCAAGTGCTCAGTGCTTCCCCAGAACCTTGGCCTTCCTAACGGCGTGCGTTTTGTGCCTGTGCAGGGAGACTCCGGCGGCCCGCTGGTAGTGAGCGGCGGCAGGCAGGTGGGCATCGTGTCGTGGGGGCGTGGCTGCGCCCGCAGCGCCTCGCCCGGCGTCTACGCAAGGGTGGCAGCCCTGCGTGACTGGATCGCCCAGAAGTCCGGCGTCTAAGGACATCTAGCAGTAGCTGCATTAATGTGCCTCAAATTTTGAGTGCATCTGAAATTAATACTCTTGTTAATAAAGTTTGTGCTGTTATTTATTTTTATTATTACGCAGTCCTTTATTTTATAAATAAAATTTATTACGCTATTTTGTTGTATTAATATGTTTAAGCTGGGAACGTTCCTTTCATTACATTTTTATTACTTTCTCGTGTACGTACGTATATGCGCGGTACTATATAAAGTACGGAGCAACATCCCTCACGTCATTGACATTTACATTATGGGCATTTTTATACTTTTTTGCATTTGAGTGCTTCAAATTATTTTTAATGAAGTTTCAAGAAAATTCAAAGTTTTCTGTAAAAATCAGTTCAAAATTGTGCATTTTCAGAAAAACATTTTCTCAAATATGATTCCGTTTTCTTTAAACTTTTCGAAGGGGAAATTCTAATTGCATTGAATTAAATTGCATACACGTATAATTGATATTCTTTCAAACATTACACAAATGAAAATTGGTTGGAACTCTCTAGTAGTTCATATTTACATCATGCATTTTCTATTCATTACTTAATTAGTGAGCAAAAGTGCTTCAATTGATTTCTTATGAATTTTTTTTTTGTGAAAAATGATCTTAAAATATAACATTATCACGTTTTCGAGAGTTCATTGGTAAATATAGTTATTCAAATTAATGTTCTCCATATTCTCGCAGCAGTATTTTAACTTCTCGAAGGGCACAATGAGGGATAATAACCAAAATCCGTAACTTATTTGCATTTACAAAAAGTTATTACAAAGTAGCTAAGTGTGTGTGTGAGAGAGAGAGAGTGGGATAGACAGAGAGGGAGAGAGTGTATGAGTGAAAAAAGGGTGAAAGAATGAAGGTGTGAGTGAACGAAAGCAGACAACGTGGCAGAGAGTGAAATGAGTGAGTGTGTGTGAGAAAAAGTGAAAGAGATAGTGAGCGCGAACAAGAGGGAGTAAGATAGTGAAGGACGGAGAGATAGAGATTTAGGGAGAGAGACAGTGAGCGGCAAAATAAGAGTGAAAAGTGAGAGTGAGAAAGGAGTGGTAGTGGAAGAGAGAAAATGTAAGAGGGAATAAGTGAGAGAGGGGAAGTGATAGTGAGTGTGGAAGAGAGAACGAGAGTGTGTGCGAGAGAGAAAGAGTAGGAGCTCCTGAGAGATAAAGTAAGAGTTACAGAGAGAGGAAGAGTGCGAGGACAGAAAGTGATAGACGGTGAGAGAGTAAAGAGATAGTGAGAGAGAGTGTATGAATGAGATAGAATAAGAAAAAAAATATGAGAGTGAGAGTTAAGATAGAAACAGTGAAAGATAGTGATGGAAAGAATGTGAGTGGGAGAAAAAGAGGGAGAGTGGCAGAGAAAGTGAAAAAAGATGTGGAAGTGGGAGAGCGAGCTAGAGAGTGAAAGTGAGGAGAGAGAGAATGCTTGAGGAGAGCGTGTGTGCGAGTGGGACAGAGTGAGAGAGTAGGACAAAGAGTGGGAAAGACAGTAAAAGAGTAAGCGAAAGACAGAAAGTGAGTGAGAGTGAGGAAGAAAGTGACTGAGAAAGAGAGCGAAGTCAAAGCGAAGGACTGTGAGATATAGAGTGAAAGAGACCGCGAACGTGAGAGAAACGGCGAGGTATCTCGACATCTCACGTGTGTTATTGCCATAAGTCCATGCGTCCCAAAGTTCTCCCGGCCCCCAACCCAGTCATTAGCTGACTCGGAGTTCGAAGACTCATAAAACTCGACAAAGGGCGACAGCGTCCCTCTTCCAAAGACACTCTCAATAGCAAAAGAGTCTGGAGACACCCACCTCCGGGACTCCCGCCCCAAAAGCAAAGCAATTTGACCTTCACCAACCCGGCACCCGATATGCTAAGAAAATTGTAATTATCTTTGTCTCGCCAATGCCCCCTCGCTAATCCTTTGGGACTATCTGTAATTCTTCACTCAGAGCGTCGGCTCCCGGTCACCCATCGTCCACAGTAGCTAAACAATGACAACCTATTGGAACGATCAGATTATGAAGGTCAACAAAGTGGGAACTGGGCCGACCAACTGGCATCCACAACCCCATAGAATATTCTCGAAGCAGCTAAGCGAACCAATAGCGGCTTAGGGAGACACGCACGTGACCACAGGGACGATAACAGGACAAGAGATTAGAGGCAGATGCTGTCTGAAATCCATCGAGAGAGGCTGTTTGATTTTCATTCAGCATAGAAGAATTTCTTTAAAATAAAAACTTCCAGATCAGACTTCAAAATCGCACTTTGAAAGATACAGTTTTCGCTCCACCAGATGCCATCCTCTCTGAAACCGGTGCGTTATTGGGAACTACTATCAAGTGAAATTACTACGTCAACGGAATGTATACCGTTCTGTGGTCGGAAGCCAGAGCGTCCTAATAGCACTTGTCACGGAGCAGAGCAACCTGCCGCGAGGTGCTTTCCGACGCGGGTGAGGTGACGTATGACGGCCTTACACAGCGAATAAACCCACATCATCATCGGCACGAGAGCGAGGGCCTTCAATCCAGTCATCGGCGCGTGCTGCGGACCCACGACCGACCCAGTGCGAAGCGACCCCGCGCCACCCCTCTAGCGGCATCACCTGGCGAGGGTTATTTGAGCGCGGATCCAGGACGGCGACGAGCAATTCTCTACAGCGAGGTAACCCAAACTTTATCACTGTTGGCCCGTCCAGAATCAATACTGCCGCTCTAATGGACAGGGGATTTCATAGTTCTCGATATATTAAATGTCCATGTAATAGTATAGTGTCATTTTGAATAAATGTATGCCCGTCATTCTGACAGACCACACTTGAACCATCAATTGAAAGGGTTACAATAAATAAATTAAGAGTATGCGCGTTACCCAGAGCGACTCACCCCCTGAGATCTCTAGAGTTGGCGCAGGAGGCAGGTTAGTATCGCCTGTAGCGCCCACATCTAAATAAATTTAGCAGCGAGCGACCTGCCATCCTCCACTACGTATGTCAAACACACACGTGTTTTGACACATTGTGGGACCCCGCTTGGTTCGGTACGCAAAAGTCACCAGCATATTCCGACATGCAGGTTCATCACAATTGAGAGAAAATATGCGAAAGTGAAAAAGATGAGTCAAAGAAAGTGAGGAAGAGACAGAAAAAGAGTAAAGAGGGTGCGAAAGAGAGAGATCAGAGAGGGAGGGTGAGATATAAGGTGAAAGTAGACCGAGAGTGAGAAAACAGGAGAAAGGTAAACCATTCGAAAAAAGTCTCAGAATATTAATGATTGTTGTGTATGTATAAGTATAGATGATTAAAAAAAAGCTTACTAGCCCCAAGTTGTGCATTTCAAAGTGAATTTTTAACTGCGTCATTAAATTAAGTTAATATTAGTAGGACAAACCCACCCCCTCTAGCTAAAGGCCGCTAAGCGCAAGGCAGTGGCTCAATTGTACGAGGATAAATGCCAGCCTTCACAAGGCGATTCTAGTAGTCAACCGGAATTCGGTAATCAATATTCTTTCTTATATATGGTATGAGTAAAATAGTCTCTTAGTCATTGGAAAAGGCGGGTGGAAAGACTAAATATATGCTTCTTGTTTTTGAGTTGTTTTTTTTTTTCTGTCAGTTCTACTTTAAATATTTATTTAATGTTCAAAATTGCGAGAATAACATTTCATGAACCTAGCCTTTTGCTAAAACACACTGGTTTAAATGAGAGCATGAATTGTTTCCACAATGGCAATTTCAAGAGTTCACGATAATATTTTACGTTTACTAGGTGGCATGCAATTATCCTATGTTGACATCCGTACTTACGTAGTTTAATAACTGCAAACTCCAAAGCAGTTTATTGAAATGTACAGCTGTCGAACGTTCAACGGATGCATTCATGATATGTACCTACCTGTACAGAGGTCTCTTCCAGAGTTGAAAAATTATCATTGCAGTGTGTTGCGAACTTATCAATGGATTTACGAAGAAATTCATAAGTTTTGGTAACTGGAGCGGGTTAGGGGGGAAAGCTTTGGCGGTTCAGTAAAGAAATTGTTTTATCTCTAGATGTATGCATGAAATGAAATAGTCATTGTTGCTCCATATGATCTGCTATTTTTAATCATTTCTCATTGTAATTACTTACCTACGAGTCCATTTGAATTGTTCGTTACACCAATAGCCCAAACTCAGTGGTATAGTTTTATGATAGAGAATTCAATATGCTGAAATATTTGGTTTCGTGATTACATTTTCAAGGTGAGAACTTCAATCAAAATATATTTTCGTATATTAAATATTTCTAAGAGGATGGTTTGAGTTTATAGCACTTTTTGTACTAGTAATAATTGTCATTATGGGGAATATGCCGTTTGGGCAGTTACAACTTGAACAGAAGATATACGTACACGCATTGCAGCTGTACATTCTGAACATTATGTAAATGTTCATATTAAATGTAACATTATGTAAATGTGTTTATTTAAACTAAATTGTTGGCACGAACCTTTTTATTTCATCACTTGAATAACACAGTAATTTCTGGCTTTTGCATTTCTTGTTTATTTGCTTAGTGGGCTGTAGGCGAATCATTTGCTCCAAAATCCTCAAGTGTCCATCCACAGCATTTGTTACACGGTCGTCGCTGTTTATCGTTTCCTGAGTCTTCCACCCCCACCCCCCGTTCTGTGGGTCTCGTATTTGGAGCCAGCACGTGGATGAATCAATGCAAACATTTCAGGTCATGTTCACTATAAACTGTGTTGTAATAGGGCATGTATACATTTAATCGTGTTGGCTATAATCGTTGAGAAAAGACCTTAGCTTAAAAAATTCCAAAAGAACTTGGTGCGCAAATATATATATATATATTTACGCGCACGCGCACACACACACACACACACACAGTAGGAACAAATTATCTGTTGGCTCAGAGTAGCACGCTCTATCTACGTAATAGTTGTTTGCTATGCTGCACCACTTATTAAATCTCACAGCCAGGGG